TTTTCTTGAGAGAGGAGATGAAATCGAGTTTGTTCTTTGTAAAACATTTGATTTTTTATTGTGAAAATTTTTTGGGGGCGTGGTTTCGTAGTTTTGTCCCGTTTTCGGGTTTTTCCACGTTAAAATATCGCGTGTTTTTTAATTTTGAAATTTTGTGCTTCTGTTCATAAGTTTCTTCCGTTTTTTCGAATCTACGTGATCCTATTATGTGTTGTGGTTTTGATTTCTAATCGAGTCTAAGCCTATGAATTTGGAAGAGGATTCTTCCAAGTTCTTTTCTGGAATTTTGCTCAACATAAATCAGTGCAGAATTGGTTATTAAATACCTGATATGTTGGATGCCATAATGTTTGTGAAATTACACCACTTATGCAAGAGCAAAGCTCAGAAAAGAGAGAGAGAGAGATTCTAGAATTTTATGGCTTAAGGAGTGTAATATATGAACTGTATAGTTTAGATCTCATATCTTGAAATTTGTTACTTAAATCTCAATCTTGACCTCTTATATAGGAACTTATAAGTTTGGATTGATATTGATTACATTATATGCTCAATCAAAGAAAAGAAAAGATACAAATTTATCAATTATGTAGTTTATCCTGTACTGTAATATGATTCCTAGTGTTGAGTTTCTATCCGACCGTACAAATAATTTTTGACACTTGTGATGACAATTAGTTGTAATCAGTTTGCCAAGCTGACAGAGATACAGCTCAAGAACTGAGTTGTTGAGTTGCTGCTTATCCTTTGATGAGTGTTTTGTTAATAAATTGTAAAATTGATTATAGCATTGTGTTGACTAGTTAATTCACCCGGTTGGGTGGGCTGACCTGGCTTGAATTAAGCCACATATTAGCATTGCCCCTTAAGAGAAAACATGAAAATAATCTAAGTTTAACAACATTGTGAAAAATTCTATTATATTTAAAGATCTAACAGATTTCTAAAAAACTAGTTATATACAGATAATGATCTATAGGTGAAATCCAAACTAAGAATTTTGAACTATTTGAATTATGAGCAGTTTTAGTTTAAATTTTTTCGGCTTGAATAGTTGGTCTATTGATATTTTTGTGCACTCATCTACTAAAGGGTTGGCAAAATGTCTAATTGGCCTAGGTTGATCAGCTTCGTTTTGGTGATTTGTGATATTTTCAAATTGTTTTTTTTT